ATAAAACGTTTCGATTGATTCGACGAGACATTTTGAAAATCGACTTCCAAGTCCAAATTTGCCCCGAAAGGATAATAACAGTACTCTTGAAGTATTGAATTCGATTTAAACAACAAGTATCCATGTATTATAACAGCCTCGAGGTCACAGAATGACACGTATTTCTACAGTATACAACAATTTGATGAATTATAATACATGCATGCCTTGAAGTTGATGGGCGTTGAAGTTGAAGCATCACTGTCCAATCAGGATCCAGTATCGTTTTAACCTTAGATTCAGTATACAGTATCATGTTGCACTGATTGCGGATCATGCCACGGCATCACGCAGAACGAACCACCACTGGCATTGAGCTAAACGCGACAACATGGATAGCGCGGCGGTGTCAGTGGAAATGCAGCTCTTCATGGCCAAGGTGGAGAAGATAATGGCGCGCCAAGTGGTAACCATGCGCCAGGCTGTGCGTGAAGAAGTTGACGCAATCAACAAGCACCGCAAGGGCATGGACGACCACCTCCAGCGGTTGCTCGCGTTGACCCAGCCTGAGGACCCACAGTCACCCACCGTTGCCCTCGCATCGGCGGCGCCGCCAGCAACGGGAAAGCGCCGGGGCCGTCCCCGCAAGGTCGCTACGGCAGCTTCGCGATCCCCGACGGATGCCACGGCACCGCGAACATCCAGCAGTCTCGAAAGCAAGGACGTCGCACCCGCTCAACCCGCCAAACGCCGGTGCGTGACGAAGAACGCCACCTCCACCCCCAATGACCACCAACCCATCGACCACTTGCACGTGATGTCGTCCTCCTCGACCCCGTCCACTGGTACTTCCGCAGCGACGAAATCTGGTCTGACCAATTTCTTCATGGAGGTTGATGGTTTCCTGATATAACAAAGACATGTAGAGTATTCGTTGCAGTCCACAGGCGGCGCCACCGTTGACCGACCCACTGACTCCGACACGGTGCCGCCACCTCCCCAGCAGCCTCCTCCATGCACGTCGTACCGTTTAATCCCATCGGCCTACAACTCCCTGGCTCGTGAACCACCCACCGATCGTTGTTGGCCTAGAAAAATTAATTGATACATATATATAGATATATACATCACGAAGAAAAACAAAAATGTACACCATGTAGAAAGAGCCACGATAAAATCCTGTTGGCGGTGC